AATTCTAACAATCTAAATAAAATTCACTGTTATTGGTTTATAAATTCAAACAATCTTAATGAAATCCACTATTATTCAAAAAATTTGATTTTTAATGATTTTGTAGTTATAGCAGAATCCAATGTTATATACATATAGCATATTTATAAATTCTAACAATTTTACTCAATAAACACAACTTTCACAATCTTATGTATATACATGAGATTCTCAAAATTCTTATAATACAATTATTTGATAGATTTATTAAATACATAAAACTCTTTCCAAATTTAACAAATTTTTCTCAAAATTTAACAAATCTCTCTACAATTTTAACAAATATCTAAACTTTTTAAATCAATAAACTCTATCTAAATCCTACTCCAATAACCCTTTTAGATTGTACAACCTAGAAATATTTAATCATAATTAATAACCATATCAAAAGATAAGGATAGAAGTGTAAACGTGGAAAGACACTTTCTCTCTTTTAGGTTGAAGAGGAGATCGCCGTCTCTGCAACGTTTCGGCGTTGGGAGCCATTTTTCTTAATTCTTCTCCACCAATTTTGCTATTTGGTCACCGGAAGACTTCGTCATGAACGAAACGTTATCTCCATAGGCTTTCTCTATTGAACACCAACAGATTCCACTCATCTCTCCAAAATCCGGTTGCATGCCGTTTTTCCAAGCCATCGGAGATGATTAATCAAATCATAACATCATCGAAAAGAAAAAAAACATAAGAAAGCTCAGATGAATCAGAAATATGCTATAAAGCTCATGCTCTACTAAACCCGCCTTAAAACAACCAAAATTAAATCAACAACATTGTTCTTCCTTTCCAAAAGAAAATTGACTCCATACGGCTCCGCGTGAAGGAATAAGATTTATACTTCAAAAAAGATAAGAAAATCCGAATATAGTCGGAATTATTCATCTGATTAAAACAGAAACAATATTCGGTCTTGTAAAAATAGTGATTTTTGATGTACCGAAAATCTCCATTATCTCAAATTTCAATATACATTTGGACCCACAATATCAATTCAACATAAATTTTCTCAAATATCAAAAATTGTTATTTGTTCACTTTAGAATATATACTCCCTCCGTTCCGTTCTATTTTATAAGATATTTTGATTGAACGTACGAGAATTAAAAAAAAAACAATTATAAACAAAATATTATTTAATAATGAGTTAAAAATATAATTCAACCAATTATGTGAAAAACTACAAAATTTAGAAGGTCAAAAATATATGCATAGAAATTTGTAAAACATTTATAAAAWGAAAKAAAAAAAAAACCTTTAAACATCTTATATTATGAAACAAAAGAATTGCTTTGATTCATAAACCTATGATTGTTTAGAGTTTTCAAATTTAACTGGAAGGAATAATAGACGACAACATACATTTTTTTCCCAATCTTTGTATCAGACTTTAGTATCGGATTGCATAAATAAAAGAGTTAATTAGCTTAAGATTTGTTTTGGGCTACATAATTAAGTAACTAACTACTGCATACTGAAATTTAGGTATGTAGAAGAAAGACAAAAATAATGGACAAAATACTCGTGCGAAAATTAATAAGTAATATAGTCCACTATTCAATCATTTGTATATCTTTTGGTACTATTTGTTAAATCTAGTTAACTTTGTAATTTGCTTTGTATGTTATCATAATTAGCTATGATTAAGCTAATAGTTTTCTAATTAACATTTATAACTAAATCTAGTTAACTTTGTAGTTTGCTTTGTATGTATGCGTAGTTAACTATTTTAACTATGTAAAACATAGAATCATGAAATAGCTAACTATGTAGAGCATTGTATGTAAGCATAGTTAGCTATTCTATCATAAAATAGTTAATTATGTAGAGCATTCAATCAGAAAAATGGTTAAATATGTAGTTCACTATGTACTTTGAATTTTAATAGTTGGCTATGTAGAGTATTGTATCATGGGAAAAAAATGAAATTTTATGTGACAAAAATTTTAGATACCTAATTTTGTTTTATTTAAAATTAGTCTTTTAATTATGTCTTAAGAGACTAATATATAGCATAATTTTCCTAAATAAAACCAATCGTATTTAACATTCTAACGAACGTTTTAAAACTTACTTGTGTTTTATTTTGGTATTTTCTGTAGTTCGAGATTCATCTCACATCGTCATTAACTTCTTCTTTGTTTCGTTTTTTTCTTTCATATTTCTTTGATGAAAAGCCAGCAAATTTAGGTTTCTACCAAACATGGTGGGGTCGGCGTGCAATGTAACTTATTTATTTTATTTTTATTTCATAGTCATTTATGGAAAAATGTAAAAAAAAAACTTCAAAGAATCTAAAAATAATAAATTTCATGAAAATCACATAATGTAACTCTACACAGGTACACACGGGATAGAATAATAAGAACTAAACTTTACGCCTGAATATCATTGTTTTTGAAATAGGAAGAGTAAACAATAATCCATTAATCAACATTTAAAAGGTTTGCTTGAAGAAACAAAATTTGGATTCAGATTCATATAAAAGAGCCCATAAATTCTACACATGATTGATTAGCTGTAAACTCTAATCATACAAAAGTTACAAGCTGCTATGACATGTGAAAGATAGAAAGTGGAGAAGGTGATGTAAACTACTAAACTATTTGGCATGTTAAGTACTCAATACAGCAGAATAATAAGAGAATACGTTATTAACAAATATTATTATGTAAGAAAATGGAAATTATTAACTTAATATCCTTGGAATAATAAGACCCAGTCTTAGCACCACTT